TAGTGGACAAGCGAGGCGTCATTGCCTTGTTCTTGGTGCCCGACGCTCTGATGACGAGTCAGCAGGTACGGCAGCGGATCGGCAGCCTCAATTAACGTCCCGCTGAATATGTCTGCCTATAGGCCAAAATATTCGGAAGCATTACCACGGTTAATGCCACATTTGAGAAAGCGAAGAACCGACCGCTCACAAAAGGCAAGAGCGGTATATGGAGACAAGGGGGAGATCTGTTTGCACCCGATGGTGCCGGATTACAGGCCACGCCTGGTCTCGCCACGTTCGGCATTCGACAGATGCAAGGTCATGAGGTATTGGAAACAATTTAAGTACTGAGGTCGGGCTGACATTCTTCTCAGAAACCTGGCGAGGACATTCTGGTTGCGGCGGACCTCGGCAAGGCCGGCAGCCCATCGGCATCGTCGGCATCACAGCGTACTGCTCAGGATTGGGTGTCTCAGTCGCTAGTCTTCGGAGGTCTGATGTCGGCAGCGTTGAGTATGCTTCATCCGGAGCAGTATGCTCTATCCCGCGAATGCATGATTCGTCTTGCTCTGCAGCATCCCGATTTGGAAAGTATGCTGAAGATCTGGCCTTTCACTTTCAATGCTCTCGCACTCGTGTCAAACCGTGCCACGCCCATTCATCGCGATCGTCATAGCGGAGACGCGGACTACCTGGACGGCATGTGCACCATTGGAGGCGATGGGAGGGTAGCCATCGAGTTCAAGGGGTTGGGGTTCAAAGCTCGATACCGGTCCGGCACCATGGCATGGACGTCGTACTACATGCATTTGCACTCCGTGTCGCACTCTCCTGACGCTGAGCGTATCGCCTTTGCTGCATACGTCAAGCAATCCGTACAGCTCGATACTGGACTTGATCCGCCCCGCACTCCAACTTTGTCCGGCATGAAGGAGGCCTTGATCGAACAAATCAAGGCCCAGAAATCCAAGGGACGGGTTGGCAAGTGAGAAAAATGATTACATCGTTTGTACTTCAATATTAAAACGTATTACAAACGAGTATTCAGTACAAGCGTAACATGTCTCAAAGATCCCAGCCTCGAAACAAGTCAGTTCCGAGATGCGCCGGCACCCCCGGCAGGGCCGGCACCCTCGGCGTACTCGGCAGAGTCGAGGATGTGCTGCTCGCGAAAATTGAGCTGGGCATGCGGGTAAGCCGCTTGAAACACTGCCAGAAGCTCTCGAGTATTGTTGGCTTGTTCTTCGCCAAGTTTCTTATAAGTGAGGTCCTGATCCTTCTCTAGACGTCGTAAGAAATGCTCGGCATCGTCCAGAGTCTTCATGAGCCGCCGCCTTGTAGGCTCCCTTTCCGCCTCTCCAAAGTCCTGCAAAAAACTGGATTAAGATGTTGGCAAAGACCTACTCAATAGCAGACGTACCGGTCCACGATGAGCAACATCTAGGCCATGCACGTATTGCAGATGGGCCTCCCGGCGTTCGGCATCCCGGGCATGGGCTCGGCCGTCGGCACGTACGGCAGGATCGGGACTCAGATATAACCACCATGGAGGTGGCCTTTTCATGATTTTGTTGAAGTCGGCGTCCATATCCTCTAGTCCCGGACCGTCCTCTTCATCAACAATCTTGAGCTCGTTGCAGATATGCCACATTTCCTTGTTATTGAAGAGTGAATCGTCGATCGAGCACTTGCCGGCACTAGCGGCAACAACACGGGCATACGCCGCGAACAAGCGACTATTGAGGGGTATGCTGCGAACAGCGGCCCAGCCTGTGATGCGACACATCCAGGCCTATAATATTTAGACAGCAGTAAGTGTACCAGAGTATAATACATACTGCCTCAATGGCCATTCCTTCACAAAAGCGCTCCTCGTTAATATCCCACTCGTCGCCAGGCTTGTACTTGAGGTCGATGGTTTGGCTCAAGTCTAGGAGGCGGCCGAAGATGTGCCAGTGTATCCATTTGGCATAGATGGGCTCATTGAGCCAGCTGTCGGTTGAACTCTTATTCATGGTGGTGGCGGTAAGGGGGAAACATCGATTTGATGGAGATCACATTGATGTCGTCACCTTGTGACTGTGACGGCAGTTGCAACTGGCAGATCCGGCACGCGCGTGATAAACTTTTTGATCATCAACCACCATGAGCTCTCCTCGCGTTTGGACGGTCGATACACTCGGCACCTTTGTCGTGGACATGCAGCTACGTGTATGCGAGATTCTTAAGGATCACGCACAACTGGTTGTCCACCCGGAGTACTGGCCATGGTAGGACAGAGTCTTCCTGGAGAATTTGCGTCACGAGCTGGTATGTAATAGACACACGCATTGCTGTACGCCGCTCACGCACTTGCTAGGCATTTACTCTTAATGTGATCGGCTTTTGTATGCTGAGTGGCGTCAACCGGCCGTCGGTCAGCTTTAAAGTCCTTAATGCTCTGTCACATGCCTTCCTCATGGGCACTGATGT